TTGAATAACCAGTACTTCGCTACAACACCAAGTACTCTCTCTTCTTCACCGTTTATAAAAGTTCACAATTACCAGGTCAGATAAGTTAATTTAACTTTCACAGTAAAAAAGAAAAAGAGAAAAACAAAAGCCTGAAATAAAAATCCCTCAAAGTAAGCCATGTTCTATCCAAAATGTAATATGTAAACATTGCACATAATTTTTGAAATTAAGCCTCATAATTATATCGTGAAGAATTAACGATAATCTGAGAATTGTGCCATAATGAAGGTTGTTCATTTTAGAATGCAGGAGCGAGGGGTCTATGTATTTATATGTCATAAGGATGAATAAATATATCAGAGTCAGCATAAAGGAATATAACCAAATAAGGCAAGAAAACAGACCACAAGATGCTGCTGCATTATTCACTCATATCTTTGGTGCTAAGTTTCTTCATTCAAAAAAGTACGACTTTCTAGAAATGAGACTTTAGACCTTTAGACTAAGTAGTTGTTTTGAACAACAACAACAACAAAAACTGGGAAGACATATTAGGAAGCTCAACATATCTAATTTAAATGGGTTGGCCTCAATAATAGGAAGCTCAACATATCTAATTTAAATGGGTTGGCCTCAATAAAGAGAACGTATTTGTTCTTAAAATTCTAGTCCTTTCAGGCACCACATCTTGTTAATCAGCAAAAATAATGACAATCTCTTTTTTAAAAAAATATTTATTTATTTATTAGTTTCAGGTGTACAACACAGTGCAATAGCTATAGTTTTTACCCCTCAAAGTGACAACCCCCTCCCCCAATCTGCCGCCCCACCCCCCCATATCATACATATCTATTACAATTCCATTGACTCCACTTTCACACTATACTCCCGTGACTATATACATATTCAATTATAGTTGACATACAATATTATACGACATCGGCTTCAGTGACACTCTCTTTACTTTCTAATTTTGTTGGAGGAATATGATGGTTGGCTCTGAAGACACTCTCAGAAGCTTTGGTTGGCCTAAGTATAAAGTGAGGAACTAACTACAAGGTGAACGAGGCTAATTAACTCTTTTATGAAGGGACAGGAGCCTAACACAGACCATCAACTCAGTAAAGTTTGAATGTTCTTTTAGAGCATTCCCCCATGAATTAGGAATACCAGATGGCCTTGAGTGGTAGTGGTTTTCTTGCTGTTCCACCTACTGTTATTGATTTTCGTATTTTAACCTCTCCTGACACAGCTCTCTCCTGCCAATTGCAGCAACCTAGAGAAATCTGAATGAGAAGACTTTTCTAAATCCTGAGTTGGAAAACTTTCATAACGAGGTAGCATTGCACATCACTGAGAATGAGTCTGTCCATCAATCATGAATAATCTGTGACAGTAAAATACTAAGGATGACAAGGATGCTGTGACTTTTCTCCCTGTTCTCCTGATTTGGGACACCCGTGGGACTCAATTCGGTATCCAAAAATGGGTAACATTTTGCTGATTATTTCTGTATACACACCAATTCCCAGAGGGCTGTGATGGAGACTTACCATTTTTAAATGAAAGACAGAGCAAAGCTAATAAAACTTTGAATTCAAGGGAGCACTCAGGGAGGCCAAAGGCCCCCAAGGTCATCTTTAGTAGCACCTATTTCAAACTGCCATAAATATATATGACACACAGAATGAAAGCAATCTTGGCAGTTGATACCCAAGTTTTAGTTCTGATTCTTTTCACATAACAAGTAATATGAACACGGAAAAGTCATTAAAACCCTCTGGGGTTTCCTTCACTTTCTTCACCTTAAAATTTAAAAATTGGGAAAAACATTCTCCGGTAGTATTTTAATTTCATAATTTTAAGATAAAATGTAGATGTGTAAAGTTGATTAATAGAAATCTAGGTTTTTAAAGGAGAAAATGAAAGAGATTTACCTAGTGGGAGATAATTGGTTTTAAATATTTATTCATGTATACCAGACACAATTAATACAGAGGATGACTAAAAAAATGTATACACATTTTAAGAAACGAAAACTATTAAAATTGTAATAATATATACTGATAAGAGAAGATGAATACAAGTCACGTTTGACTTCTGCAATTACAAGAAGGTGCTCAAAGTGGCTACCATCAGTGTCCAGACACTTCTGATTATGGTGAACTACTGCTTGAGCAACGCTGACCAGTGTCCACTTGTGTACATTTTTTTGGTACCCCGTATTGTTTTGTGAACACAAAAAAAGGTAGAAGTCAGCCTAGAATACACATTTGATTATCTATGGATAAAACCTGCTGTTCTTTCTCAAATTTGCACCACTAGATGGAGCCCTTGAACAGTAGCATTTCAGAAGATGGACCTCCAAGGACTGAGATTTGAGATGGAAGATTCCAATCCCTGTAAAGATCCATGGAAATCAAAGTCTTCTTTTGTAGTTGAAGGCACTTCAAATTGAGCTTGGATAAATAGGGTTCTAAGGTCGGCTGATGATTTTCCCCTCCTTCTATTACTGGTTTTCTTCTCGTTATACTGCTTTGAAGTTAACTAGACAGCTTTTGTAATTTTCTAAACTAAAATTCAAACAATCTTTTATTCAAATTGTGTGGCTCAGAGTAAAGAACCACAGTCTAGTTACTTAGTATTTTTTCCAGAAAAGTAAGGTGGATAGTTTGAACCATCTCTCAGGAAAGGAATGGTGATTAAGCAGGAGGAGACGAAGTTCAACCAGTCACAGATATATATCTTGAATGGTTTTCTTTTACTGAAGTTGGTTACCATATACCTTAGTGCATTTCTAAATTTCAGTTGCCTCACTCGTTAAATGGGGAAAATTTCACCCAGAGGTCATGTTTTTTGCAATGATTAAGTGACATAGCAGTGCCTTGCACATAACAGCTGCTTAATTAATGCCCGTTTTCTTTCCTTGTCTCCTTTTCCAGCTTGTTTTACCTCCATTGTTAAGTAATTCAAACACCCATCATAACCAGAATAAAAGCTAAGGTGCTGAGGGTTTTGAAATCAGGCTGCCTTAGTATGATTCTTAGCTGTGTGACCTTGGAGAGGTTTTAGTGATTTCATTTGCAGAATGGGAATAATAATACATGCGAAATTTTTATAGGGGTTTAATGAGATAAACTTATAAAGTGCTTGGCACAGTGCATGCCACATGTGAATGCTCAATAAAGAATACAAAAAGACTGAAACAGATATTTGGATTAAGCTTTAAGATATCTGTAGAAATTCACCCAAAGGGCCATATCAACTTAAGAATGCAGGATTTAACAAAAGACAGTAGTGGAACCACATTGTGGAATTGGTCCATGTTTATAACCGTTGCTCTGGTGCCTCCTGATAAGACTTCTTTTGTGTAACTTGTAAAGATACCATTGTGTTCAGCTGGTCACTGCTCCCTAAAGGTATCTGCTCACCCTGCAGTGTGCCCCTGTGCCCTACCACGAGCTGTCCATCTCACACCTAAGACTATACTGCTCTCAACTCTCTCCTCGACATCGACTGTCTAATTCGTTTTCCAATTTCTGCCCTCAGCTTGTATAAAAGATAAAAATAAAAAGACAGTTGGTTGCAATGTTACCTATGTTAGCTCTGATTCTCCTCTGCCAATGCCCCCAGCCACCCAATACATTGTCTCCACTGCCATGACTTCCCTCTCTTGTTTCAACTTTCCTCGCGGCTCAGCCCCTCCCTTTCCCCCCCACCCCACACATCCCTTATCCACTGTTATATGCTGTCAGTAAATGGGAGGTAACCCTCTCTTTCATCCAACCTTCAACACCCAAAGGGAAGACTTCACGCATTCTAAGGAACATCTGCCTCGTTATCACCATCTTCCTCATCGCTAATATTTATTGAACATTCACAATATGCCAGAAAAAGCACTTTATTTGTGTAATCTCTTATTTCTCACAAAATGTTATGAGTTAGTTAATACTATTTCTCTTTTATAGATTGTGAGAATGAGGCTTTGAGAGGTTAATCAGGTTGGCCAAATTCCACAACTTGTAAGTGATGAAGACAGATTTTGAAACCACATCTGACTTCAGGGCACAAACATTTAACCCCTACATGCTATTCCTTAAACCAAAGGCAAGCTTTTTTTTTTTTTAGGTGCATTCTTTCAATCAAGCATTTTCCTACTGCCTACAAAATAGTAGGGTTTTTTTTGCAATTTTCCATAGAAAATTGATAAAGTAGCACTTTCTGTCGTTAAAAACTTGGTTCAGGCCTCCAGCATGTGACATAACACATGTTTTTAGAGAGCATTTAGTTTAGCTCTTTCAGTTATTGCTCAAGATCAAAGAGATAACAAATGGAGAAGCCAAGTCTTGAGTTCATGGAAATCATTAGATTTGACCTTTTGTGTTTGTGCAAGAAAGCCAACTTTTTTTTTTAATTCCCTAAGTTCCTTCCACTGAAGCCAGTTTGTCTTAAATTTGCTTCCAAGTTGCCCCAACAAGTGACCCTCTCCACAATTTCCAACTCCCCGTTTCCAATATTTTTGCTAAGGGAATCCGATGTCATGGATCTTAGCTTCACTTCTTATCAATTTCGTATGGGCTAAATTAGCTACAGTAAAGTGGATGTTTTCTGCATAGACTCTCGCCCTGGTCCTTCTTAGTGATTCCTTTGGTTCTACTGACAAATCACAACATTCTCTTTAGATCCTCCCCCAAAGCAGTTCCTGTATCATCAAGAAATTACATATGTATTTTCTTAGTCTTTCATTTTTTTTATCATTCTCAACACAGTTAAGGGAGAGAGCAGAAGCCATATTATCATTTGAGAAATTTAATAACATAGAACACAGAGAGACTGATGATAAAATCATGTAGAGAAAATGTTCTGGTTGAAGCAACCCATCAGGTAATAGGCTGGAGCCCTTCCAGTGTAGCAACAAAATATATTGCTCTTTACGAACTGTATGAGAAACCTCAAGTTTCTCCAGGAGAAAGGAGAATATAACTCTGATTTAAAACTGCATTCTTTATTTCTTTTAGCTACTCTGCTGGCTTTGAGCACAGTCCTGCAAAAAGTTTAAGACCAAGAGTGGTTAAGTCCAGTATGGTAACAGGTATGGTAAAGTTTTGATAACCACACATAGACAGTCTATCCTCAGTCACTTTATTATTATTATTATTATTATTATTATTATTATTATTAGTAGTAGTAGTAGTAGTAGTAGTATTGGCTTTCCTTTTTCCTAAAGTAAACAGAGAACAAGCGGTGACAGAACTAGATTGATATATCAACCCCAATTCCAGAAGAGCAACTCACTAGCAACAATTTACTCAGCAGATCACTTGTAAACCATGATTTCATTTCATGTTTGTTCTTTAAGTCTATTGATTCTCCTATCAATTACTTAGGATGTCTATGATTCTAATCACTAGGACAGAATAAGAACCAATACAGAAGTTTCTCTTTTCCCCTCCCAAGAGTCATGCCCTATTAATTTATGCCCTATATGGTACTGAAATTTTAGGGAGAGATTTGGCTTATTTTGAATAGTATTTCTAATAGGTAGTTGTCACTTTGCTCAATAAAAATAGCTTTATACAATCTTAAGTAATTAATTCAACCCAATCATTTTTATACAATGTCAGAAATATAGCCTTCTTCAATCTATTGACTTTAAATTAGGATGTATTTATACAGAGGATACAAGAGAAATGTGGCATTGTCCTCAAGGAACAGACATTTTTCATGGGAGAGTAAGGCTTGAATACATATAGTAAGGTAGCATATATATAAATTCAACATTTTGCTGCTAGACTGTATGGTACAAACAAATGATATGCACCCCCATGTACCTGAAGTACAAAGACAATTATTAAGTTGCTAGGATCAAATAAAAAGAGATTAAGAAGGGTCAGATGAAATGAGCAAGAGTACACTTGATTGGGTGACTTTCACAGCTATATTTTCAGTTTTTATAGTATGTGTGCTATCAGAATGAATGTGAAAAATGTAGTGCTGGAATAGACTGATAGTAACTAATGTATTACTCGAGACTCTCTACCTTATGAATTCCACTATTTTAAAAGGTTATACCGTTTTTTAAAACATAGAAACAATGCAATATAATCTAAAAGTTAACCTACTTCACAAGTTAATCTCAAGCATCATTATAAAGTTTTCAACTAAATTTTAAAATTATATATTTAGGTCTTATAACCCACTTTTTTATTCTTACTACTTTACATTGATTCCTTTTTGTATAATGCATCATTTGGCCTTATGTTTTCTTTTACTGTTATGTATTACTCAAAAAGAAATTTAAAATAGGAAGCTATGTTAAGAAAAAAATGAAAGGACTGTGAAAATGGTTGCAATTGATATCTAGAAATATAATGATGCATTGTATAAAGGAGATGGTATAAAAGCTGTACTACCAATGACCACAGTGTGGCATCCTAGTATCATGCATGACATTATAAAACTACACCTAGAAGCAAACTCACAATGTAATAAAAACTAGCTCGGTTTCCAGTGCCATCTATTGAAAGTAGCTTTCAATGAGCCTCAAAATGAGTTTGCATTTGACACTATTATTCATTTTCTTCTTTTGGAAACTCCTTCTTGTTTTGGTTTGGTGATATTACTCTCTTCTAAATTAGTTCTTATTGTTTGTTTGTATTTAATCATTTTACTAGTTCTTTCTCCATCAATGGTTGCATCCTCCAGAATTTTGTAACCAAAATGTGTGTCAGCGAGGAAGTCTTATATACAGAAGTCCAGAGAATATATATATATATATATATATATATATATATATATATATATATATATACACACATATATTTTTTTTAAGCTGAGCCATCCTGCCACCTGTTGGCAGCTCAGTGGCTACTCAGCTCGGGCCGAGACTCGAACTGCTGTTGCTCAGAGCTCAAACTCTTGAGCGAGCTCTTAACCAACTGAGCCACTCGGCCAGCCCCCAGAGAATATATTTTTATCTATCCTTTACTTCAAGTTCAAGGGACACAATCCAGCCAATATTGATTTCATAAGATAATGGGTTTTGACCATGTCCTGTTGGGGAGTCCACTTCATAGTCGATGTAGAGGCCTGAGCACCGCATTGTATTTCTGAAGCTGATGTTGAATAATATAGTATGTCAACTATAATTATATATATACATATAGTCTCGGGACATGGAGTAGAGAGCGGGAACGGATTCAATGGAATTGTAATAGATAAGCATGATATCGGGGGTGGGAGGGCAATAGATGGGGTGAGGGGGGTTGTTACTTTGTGAGGGTGAAAAGGGTAACTATTGCATTGTTCTGTACACCTGAAACTAACAATAAAAAAAAAAGATAATAGGTTTTGAGGAGTGAATACCTTCTCTTCGAGTTCCAGCCATCATTTAAGGTTTTTGTCCCTGAGGCTCAGCGTACAAGATGAAGAGGGTGGAGAGCATCCCCTCTGAACCTTCTTTCTCAGGCTCATCCACAGCCCTCAGTGCTTTTAGCTCCTTCACTGACCCCCACTGGTTTCGTCCTGTGCCTGGTCTCTGTGAGTGGGCATTTCCTGCCCTTTTAGTGTCTGCTGTTGAAGGGGTGGGGGTGTTGGGGAGAGAAAACGGCCTTGGAGCCTACATGTGGAGGTGGGCAGAGACTATGAAGAGAAAAACAACTCAAAGGGAGGTATTGCCTTAGGTCAGATTTTTTTAGAAGCCAAGCCTGACATGAGAATGTTTTCAAAATATTTATTGAGGAGCTCTCCCAAGAGTGGGTGAGGGAAGCAGGGTATAGGACAGGAGATAAGCAACAAAGTGGTCCTACAGGGAGAGTAGCTTACTCTGACCCACAGAGAAAGCTCTGGGGCACCAAGTGCTCCCCTGTTAGTCCCGCCCAGGCCAGGAGACCAGCCTCCTGTACCCTCCTATCAGAGTGGCTGCTGAAGGCAGTTATCTGGAAGAGGGGGCAGCTGTGAGTGCTCGCAGCCAGTACTCACAAGTGGATGGTGGGGCGCTGGTCATAGAGGGGATCAGGGAAGGGCATCCACAACATTTACTGCTTGTTACCTTCAGCTGGAGGTTCTGAGAATAAATATCTCATACTTTTCCACCACAAAGATTAACCCTTGCTAAGATGCTAGGGCTAGATAAGGATCTATCTTTGTCTCACTATTGAGTCACATGAAAAAGAACCCCATTCAAGTATGGAAAACAAAAAGTAGCAGCATTACAGAGCAGAAACCTGGCAGATACCACCTTAACCAAGTGACCAAGGGAATATCATCAGTACAGAGACATGGTGCTAACTAGTGCAGGCAGAAAAGCATTTCGCCTCCGTGGTGTTCTGTCCAGAAACCCACAACTGCAGCCTAATCATAGGAAAGCATCAGATAAACACAAATGGAGGGGCATTCTAAGTACGAAAATACTTGACCTGTACTCTTCTGAAGTTTCCAGATCATGAAAGATAAGGAAAGAACTGAGGATCTCTCACAGATTAGAGACTAAGGTGATAGCTTCATGCAATATGTAATCTTGCATTGGATCGTGGAATAGAAAAGGAACATTAGTGGAAAAACTAGGGAAATCTGAATGAAATCTGTAGTTTAGTTAAGAGCTTTATGCCAATGTTAATTTCTTGTTTTGATCATCATACTGTGGTTATTTAAGATGTAGAGAAGAGAAGCTGTGTAAGGGTATACAGGCGCACCCTGCATTGTCTTTACAAATATTCTGAAATCTACAATTATTCCAAAATTAAAAGTTTTTCTTTAAAACCTTATTTCATTTTCTTAGACTCAGAAATGTGGCATTCGGACAGCGGTGATAAAAAATCTTGTATACATGCATGAAATAACATTCCTTATGGACAATGACAAATAAATAACATAAAATAATAAATTATTTATAACTTCTATGTTATATATTCAGTGAAGTGAATTACCAAAATTAAGGACACAGATGAAAGAAAATTTTATAACATGTGTAACTCTCATAAAAAGGATTGTAAGCTGCTTCCAAACTTTAAATTCCAATTCTGTTACTCTCCCTATCAAAGAAAAATAATGTTTATAGAGAAAAAGGAAAGTGAGTTTTAAGTTAAATTTAATACTTGGTTGAGTCTATAATTCTATCCTTTTTCTTCCTTTTCCCTTTAGAAAATTAATTCATATCACCATGCAAGTTTAATTTTTTTTTAATTTTCTATATTAAAAATTGTTTTTACTGTTTTTTTTTGTGTACAATGTTTCCTACTCTATGATGTAATGACCAACAGGGGTTACTATTTTCATACATTAAATTTCATTTTTTATATTGCCAAAATGCCATAGAATCATTATAAAAAGTATAATGCTTCCTGGTATTTATTAATTACTGATAATGTTTACTTGCATTTTAATAAACAGTTTGTAACCTAGCTGACCTCATGGAAAGCAGGAGTATTAGTCCTGTAATGCTGGTAAAAGTTTGATCTGTGCTTCTTGAATGGCAGTAAGTGTGAATAAATATGTGCAGTGTGCAAAACTTATGAAAACAACTGATTTATGTAGCTTAATGCTCATATTATATATAATTATATATAACCAGAATTAAAGTATCAGAGACTTGGGATTGCAAGGATTTTTCCTGATTTAATTATTCTCTCTAGCAATACTTTGTCTAATATAATATGTATTTTACTAATTTATCCTGTTTTTATTATATTTTTCACCCATCCGTGAAAGAAAGAGCTTTTGTTTTGTTCTGTTTACTATATGTTGCCAGTACTAACAACTCTAGCATATGCAATTAATTTCAATAAATATTTTTAGAAATTAATAAATGAGTAAAGAAATGAATTAACACTATATACACCTGGTGATCATATACAATTTAGATTTCCCATACCATATTTCGAGTAAGCTTACATTTGAAATTTCTAGTGAGTAAAAAAATTCATATATGTACAGAAATATTTTGTTAATTCTATATAGAAGTGTAATAAAACTCTATTAAAATAAATAAGCATAAATTGAAACATTTTTCCTTATTGTGTAGTTTCCTGCCTCCAATTTATTTTTAATATATGTATTTCAAATATACACATATATTCCAAATGTATATTTTGAATATGTATTTCCAAATATGTATATAAATATTTCGAATATATATGTTCTAAATATATATATTACATATATATCATATATCATTTATATCAAAGTATTAGGTTGGAACTGGTCTAACAAGCCAGCTTATAATTATACTTTAAATATACTTGTGTACAGCTTTATAGTATTGTACTTTTAAGACACGATTTAAGGAAAGAAATGAGCTAACAGAAGGCATAATTAAGAAGACTATGGACATATGATTAAATTGATTAGATTGCTTGTAGAAATACAAAAAAGGTAAAAATCTCATAGTTACTTTTTTCTTTGGGTATGTGTCATGGATATACACAATCTTTTGAGACAAACTAGTAGAGTGATGGTCAAGACTCAAGTCAAACCAAATTTAGACCCCATCCTGGCAAACAGCACTCTAAGCCACAATCTATCTTTACATCTATTGTTCTGAGGATCCTTGTACAAAATAAACAGATAATGATGGTGCTGTGAAAAGCTGTGGTACCTCTGGGTGTGGCCTCAGGTGTGCACATCCTCCTTGGTGACCATGGGGCTTCCATTCACCTCCACAATCTAAGGCATAGGTAAGTATCAGGCAACATGAACCCCTCATCAGTTCTTTAACTCTCTCATCTTAAAATAACTTCTGTGTCTTTTGTTTTATATTCTTCTAACCCAGACCCATACTTTACATCCAATAGAATTTAGTTAGAATGGTCTAAAACAGGCCACTTTCTCCATGATGTATAAAAGGGCATGTCATCTTAGAAGAAATTGTTATGTATACGCCACCTGATTTTTTCATTCATTCATTCACTCATTTACTTATTCATTCATTCATTCAACTAACACTTACTGAATGCCCACAATATGCCAGGCACTGAAAATATAGTGATGGCCAGATGCAACCACTTTACTCACGTAGTTGATAATTTTAGCAATGTTCTTTATCCTTCACTAAGTAATCTGGACTTTTCCTTTCTTTATGTTCCCTACTGCTCTCCTTCCTTTTCTAAGATAACATAAATCCCATCCCATCTGAGAGTTGAGGTAGGTTTTTAACACTTGTTTGAATTATTTCCTTCTCTGTTTTTTTTCCCCTAGATAACGGATGGAAAGATGGGTTCAGAAGCAGGTATTATTGAGTTTGTTTGTTTGTTTGTTTGTTTGTTTATGACTCACCTCTATCAAAATATTACCTTCTCAAGTGTTGTTCTTAAAATCCATGTGTCATTAAAACAGCATCATCTATATTATAACTGTGTGTTCAATTCATTGTTTTAATTATTTTTGAGTTCTAAGGGTATGGGAGTAACTGGATTGCAAAGCATATGGTTTCTGCTGCCCAGAAGAGGATCCTTGGGAACCAGTAAGAGATGCCCAAAGTTCCTGTAGTCTATGACATCTAAAGGATTTGAGGACATTATCAGACCACACACAAATGTCAATTTGATCATTGAAATGCCTGTAAATAATTCTGAAAGTTTAACATGCGATACAGGTTTTTTGTTTCTGTTTTGTCTTGTTATGTAATTGGTGTTATTTTAATCCTTCATCTTATATTGATCTAATCTTTTAATGTTTGCTTTGGGAAATATATGAAAGAAGCCCAAGAAACTGACATTTATTAATTTGCTTAAGTTAAAGCATGTAATAGACTTATGAGATCCATGAAAATTATTCCTTATGATGTCAACTTCAGTATGATGAATTTTTCCCACTTGTGTAATTTGAAACATTAATTTAAGAAATATTTGATGAACACCTACCTTTTGCATAGACATGCTCTGTAGTATGGCTTGAAAATGTATTCATCACATGGATAGTAACTTGTATGAAGTCTCAGAGAACAAAGAGATCCCTGGTATAAACAATAGCTGACTATCCTGGCAAATGTTTGAATTTGTTTGCAGTGGGAAAGAATGAACTCTAGAAAGATGAATTGCACATAAATATTTATCAGTATATTTCTTTTACGCATTTTTAAGGAAAACTTCTTTGAATTCTAAAATAATTATCTTTGGTTAATAGGACATTATAGGTATGTACCAGATAAGAAAACCAAAAGAAAAAAAAGAAAGAAAATTGTATTTACTAAAAGTTAGTGGCCAGACTGCATATAGCTCAGCATTGTGCTATGTTGCTCAAGACTTGTATTCAGTGTACTTCTCTGCAAAGCTGCAATCCTGATTTTGCTTTACTGAGTCAATTAGGAAAGAGATTGTTGAATTCATATATATTGAAGTGAAAGTTAACTTATAGCTGAGGTGATGAGATGAGGCGAATCTTGCTTTTAGTCTCTAACTGGCCCCAAATATGGTAGACTTGAGACATGTTGAATTTTGAAGGGTAGGTTGATGATAATGCTAGCAAAAAGTTTAAATTAGTTTAGCTATCAACAAACATTTTTTAAATAAAATATATTTGATTTACTTTGAATGCAACAAATTATACATACATTCACTCTCAGCGTAAACACATATTTTTAAAAATTACTGATAGAGGAAAACTGCCACCTGATTTACCCAGAAGTTACCACTGGAATGTCTTTGATTTATCATCCAAACAGGCCATTTTTTGTGTGCACTCATGTATATGAACAGTTCTAAATATCTAGAGTTGGTCTGTGTGCTTACTTAAGCATATGGTATCTATCATAGTGCATCTGTTGTTCTGCAGCTTCAATTTCTCACTTAACAATATGTCTTGAAGATAATCCAGTGTCAGTTTATACAGAGCGGCCTCATTTTAAAAATTGCTGCTTAGGATCTTATTCTGTGGGCATATTATAATTAATCCCACCATTTACATTGTTGTAATTTTTTTGCTATCTCAAATAATTTTAGGGAATATGCTTGTATATAACTGTTTTATTATTTTTTAGTTTTAGGAAGGCCAACAGATCAGGAGATGGCTGCCATTGAAAGATAGTTCATTATACTCACAGTTCCCAAAAGAAGGAGGTGCCCTTTGCATGGGTGCCACATGGGGAAGTAGGGGTGTGGTTCAAGAAGCTTTGATCTGAGGTCCCCCTTACTTGTTCTCTTTAATGCTGCTCTTAGCACCATATATTTTCTCCATATCTTTCAATCCCACTGTAAACCACTGCTCACTTCGCTGATGGACAGGGACAGCACCAGGACACCCTGGGTATCCTCCCCTTGATTTATTACTGTTTCTTTCCCCAAAATACCATGTAAGAAGTAGGTAGAAGTCAAAAAATTCTTCCCCTTTATTCTCTTTCCTGATGTACACATTCATTGAAACTAAAAGTTTGGACTAGTTAGAGGGTATTATAATGTAGAATAAGAAATAGTAAAACTGTACTAAAAGTAATTTTGACCATGTCCTAAAGAGAAACACCTAGGAAGTTAAACTCCTAAGGGAATCCCTTCAGGGGATTCTAGTGACTTGGCCAAAATGAGACAAACTTTTCATAAAACAAAGTTAAGGTATTAGAACGCACTCTAAGTAAGGGAGAGTACCATCTTAAGGGTCTTAGCAGTGTCTCAGAAGGAAGGATTCGGAAGGGGGCGGATATTAAAAAATAGCCTCAAATGCTTTGAGGGTTTTTCAAGATGGGAAACTGATTGAAATTGAGTCAAGTTTGTGGCATAACAATTTAGGAGTGGTGGACATAGTGAGGTGAGGGTCTTGAAACAATTCTTCCTAAGTAAACATTTTAAAAAATAAACTCTTTGCCCAGGTGACTAGCTGTGTTCTAAGAAAACTGATTTCCAGGAATTTCCTGAAGTACACTGTAAGGGAGGAAAAAGTTTTCCTTTACTTTCTTAGGGTCCCTGGCTGGGTCTGAAAATTAAACTGACAAAGACAGATTAACAGCAGAAAAGCATACACATTTTATTAAATTTTTACATGCACATGGGAGCCTTCACAAGAGAATGAAGACCTGGAGAAGTAACCAGAGCAGGAAGCTTTTATACCTTTTTGACAAAGAAACAATAAATTTGTGAAGAACAGAAAAGATGGAGGGGTTTGGGCAAGAAGTAGTAAATGGTGAAGAAGTAACTAGAAAGATGGGGTAAATTTAACAAGGTTTTTTTTTTTGTACAGATTTCTCAGCCTCAAATTCAGACCTGACCACATTAGCGTCAGCAAATTGATATTGCATTTATTTTATTTTTAAATCGAGCTCACAAAATAGAAAGAAGTTAGTGAAAACTTAAAAGTAGAATGCAAAAAGAGTGTCCCCTTACTTGTATGTTCAGGGTTCCAAGAACAATGACAAAATATTGCTAGTTCTTTTGAGAAATGTATAAGCAAATAAAAAATAAAACAGATAAAAATATGAGGCAGATTATCATAAGTGTTGGGCAAAATCTCCTATGTAGTATGATATAGTAGTTAAAACCATGGACTCTGTCTGGGTCAAAAAGTCCTCATGTCAAATCTCAGCTCCAAAATTTACAAGACAAATGTAATCCATACCTCGATTTATTTATTAATATCAGAGTAATAATAGGACTTAGTTCCCAAGGTTGTCAGGACTAGATTAAATAATGGAATGTCTGAAAGAATTGACACAATGCTGTGGACATCAAACCCAGGTTTACTAAGCCTTAGCTATCACCAGATACTGATTTTTAGTCTCAAGGGCAAATGGACACTGAAACAAAGGTCATGACGATTATCAATTCTAAAGAGCAGAGGGTGAAAAGTACAATTACATCCGGAAGGAAGGCCTGCAATTAAGAAACAACGGGGTTTAATTATCAGGTGAAAGTGGGTAAATGTCAATGATGGGTACAGGTGGAGTTAAGACACTCCTTAATCATCAGATGCCAGAAAGGGAGGTGCTAAGTGTTGACTGGAACTAGACTTGTGGTCATGGCTAAAAGCCAAGGTCACCATCAGGCAGGAGCAAAAGAGGAAGCAGGAAGTTGAGGCAAATTGTGGGGCCGCCCTCTTTCACTGTGTCCGACTATAGCTTGCTGGCGAGGGTCTTCTTTTTTATTAACATTTTTTAAATATAAAAAAATCATAAAACGTTTAAACAATACAGAATGATAAAAAAAAGGTGGTCTTACTCATCATCTTCACCACAATTTCATTTCCAGAAAAAAAAATCACTGGTAAAATTTTGTTTTATTTTAGATATTTTCTGAACACAGCATGCTTGCTCTATCTATATCTATACATATAGATAGATATATCTATATCTATATCTATATACATAGATATATAAAATAGATTGTATATGATACATATGTAACTATGTAGGTATATAAAATTTATATATAAGATTATATAAATAGCTATATATAATATATATTACATATATTATTATATGTAAAAATAGATACATAAATATATAAAATAGCTATATTATAGATTACATATAAATAGCTATATATAAAATTTAATATAAGATAGATAAATAGTATATAGATAGATAAGTATTATATAAGATAAATATATACTATATAAGATATAATATATATAATAGGTATATAAAATATAGATTATATATAAAATTGCTATATATAACATATATAGCATATAGAGAGGGGGAGAGAGAGAGTTATTTTTTTTCATATATATAGAAATGGGCTCATACTAAACTTTTGTTTGGATATCTTGTCATATGCATACCATATATAGGTATATACCTACTGAATTCATTTTAATGATTGAATTGTATTCCATTGTATTGGTGTCCATAATTATTTAACCAGTTAGGTCACCAATTATATTTTTTCCAGTATTTTGCTGTTGCAAACAGTGCTGCGATAATTTTTATTTATTTATTTGCCTACATATGCAGCAACACTTACTGAATAAATTGTAAGATTGAGATTTCTGGATAAACACCAGGTCCACTTTGATAGATCATACAACTTACCTCCTAAAAATTGTATAAATTTGAACTCCCCAAAAATATAAAGAGAATAACTGTTTCCTATATCTTTACTAACATAGTTTAAATAATTTATATAACATACACAAACATATCATCTAAATTACTAACTTACAAGTAAATATATTTTGTTGAAGTATAACATGCCTATGGAAAAATGCACACATTATAAGTATGCAGATTGATAAATATTTACAAAGAAACACACCCATGTAATTAAAATCAGCTCAATAAATGGTATATTAATAATTTATTAC